TCAACCTTTTGCACCCTGTGAACAGCAGTGAATCCAGTCCCAGAATATGAGAGAGTCTGATGGAAGCAGAAAAACTGTGGGCTCTGCTGTCTCTACCAATATCATCTCTTGGCTTCAGACTAAACATTTAATTGGGCTTAGTCACATATTTACTCATTGACATGGCAGCTAGCGCAGCACACAGATCGTCTGGGTTTGTTTTTCTCTAATTTTCTTTTGATCTGAATGAGTTCAGAAGATTACAGCTCCCCCTGCTGCTAGTTGTAGTCTATAGATCACTGTAGTTTTAAGGGAACGTTAACGTGCAGAGAATGTTTGCGTAAACTTTGCTCACACTTCACACTAAAAAAACGGATTTTTACAGGCTGAAATCCATTGTTTCCTCAGAACTTGATTTTTCAGCTGATTTAGTCCGACTGAAAGAAGGAAGTGGCCCTAAGAAAGATGATCTTATGGGCTCAGCCAGCTATATTTGCCAGGAATAATCCAGGACCAGGCTCTCTGCTCCATTACACCAGTCTAACCGATTGCTGAAATTCCTCCCATTGTAAGTTCCAGGCCTAAAGTGAGGGAAAAGGAAAGAAGGCCTGTGTTGCAGGCCTGTCCTCCTGTGCTAGCAGTCCAGATTCCTTCAGACTAAGAAGGTGAAAACCTACTGAAAGCCAAAAAGTGGGCTTACACTCCCTATGCTCCCGGGCAAGGAAATCTGAGTGAGTGATAGGTAGGCTTAGCAGAATTAGATTTTTATTTTTTTATAATGTTGATGGATTATATTGATCTTTATTTTTAAGCATTTTTATCTATGTACATTTTCACAGTTGTGGGAAATTATGTGCGGGGTCAGAGGGTAATTATTCACTGACAGTAGGTGCTGAGATTCAAAAAATTAAAATTGTCAAAACCGAAATGTCAACATCCCATGTCAACATGTACAAAATAAATGTCCTTAACTCAAACTCTAAAGTTTTCAAGCAGCATTTTCCTTACTTTGCCCATCTGTAAATTTATGTTGTTGTTGAGGGAAATAATTTTTCTTTGGTCTGTGTATGTCTGGGGAAATCAACATTTACCAACATTTCCTGATTAAAAATCTAATCCTTCCAAGCCTAGTGATGGGCAGCTTCCAGGCCTGCCCTTTTCGCTCGCTCCCTCTTCAACTCGTGTAAATCTTTGTAGCTCCACCGCAGTCAATGGAGCTAGGGCAGTTTACACCAGATGAGCATCTGGTCCTCTGTAGTGCATGCTGGCATCAGGATCAAAAGCTACAGATCCCAGCATTCAGGTACCCGCCTCTGGGAGGCTGCTAGCCTAGGAGTTTCCTAGCATAACTGCTATGTTCAGTGGCTTGTGGACAGGGCCGGCTCCAGGCACCAGCGCAGCAAGCAGGTGCTTGGGGCGGCCAACGGACAGGAGCGGCACGTCCGGGTCTTTGGCGGTAATTCGGTGGCGGGTCCCTCAGTCCCTCTCGGAGGGAAGGACCGGCCGCCGAAGAATGAAGTGGCGGGGTAGAGCTGCCGCCGAAATGCCGCCAATCGTGGCTTTTTTTTTTTTCCGCCTCTTGGGGCGGCAAAAACGCTGGAGCCAGCCCTGCTTGTGGAACCAGAGGGACTTCACTAGGAGGGGGCACTGCATTGTAGGCCAGTCGTGGAAGAAATAAGGCTGCGTAGTGCTTTCGTGTATATAAACGAGGTGTAGAACAAGACAACCAAACTAATTTCACTGAGACCGAAACCAAATTGAAACCCAGGACTCTATCTTACTGTGCCATCTAGTTTCTGACCAACCTAGTCGAAATGTAAATTTGAACACAAGAATTCGGAAGTACGATATTTGGATTCAGTGTACTGTCTTGTTCAAGTTTGTGCTGAGATACATTGCTGGTCTTATCTTTCACATTTAATATAAAGAAGCTGTATGAATTCTCTCTGTTTGTAAATTGTACACACATTAGTTGGTGTTTTCAGTAAGCTCTAAGCAATGCAACATGGTGAACTTCGACAAAGAAATAGTTTAATGTAATCCAGCACCAATGCAGAGCCTTACAAGTGGTTCTTTACAAAACTACAAATTTCGTAATCTGAGCTAACAAACCAACACTGAAGCTAGCTGAGAAGCATTCTTCTGTTAGAAAAATACACCATGAAGAAATTGCTGTTTAGGGATTTTATTTTAGCTTGTTGATTTCCACTAGGATATCAGTCGGAGTCTGCCCCGTTTGTGTTCTGTGTTAGGGATTAAGATTCTCATTTCTCCACAGGGTAGTGTATTGAAATACAAGTTACACTTAAAGCAAAACAAACCTTTTCAACCATAAACGTGCTTCAAATATTGAGTCCCAGTTCAAAGAATACTAACACTCATGCTTTTCATCTTCAAAGCACTTTTAGTGCCAGTAGGCCAGCTTCCAGTGAGGTCATTGGCAAAACTCACATTGGGTTCAGTAGAAGCAGAATTGGGCCCATTTATTCCATAAGTCCCCCCCTGTGAGTTAGGGGAGCAGTCAGAGAGGTTGTGTGACTTGCTCACTGGGCGTTAATGGCATCACTGCTAGCAATGGATTTAGAACTCAGGAGTTCTTGTGCTCAGATCGCACTCCAGCCCTCTTTCAGAGCAGCTATGGCAGGGTTCGACTTACATCGATATGGTGTAAGGAAGGCTGGGGTCCTGGCGGGGCAGAGCAGAGACCCTCAGCAGGGGCCGCAAGGAGGGCGACGAGTGCTGGGCTGCAGGGGGAGGCCACCCCACTGCTGAATGACACCTGCCTGGTGACAGAGCCATTCAGCAGCAGGATGGCTTCCACAGCAGCTGGTGGTTTGGGCTCCTCCTCACAGTCCTGGCTGAAGGTCTCTGCTCTGCCCCACCAGGACTTCAGCCGGGGGCTCATGCTGCCAGGAGCTCATCCTTCACCTTGCAGTCCTGCCTGGGAAACTTTGCTGCACCAGGACAGGACTGCAGCCCGCCACACATTTTGCTCCCTGGTGTCTTGAGCCCCTCAGTCGTGGTGCAGGGAGCTCCCTGTAGTCCTGCTCTTAGTCCTGGGAGCCCCCTACAGGCCAGCTGTCAGTACTGCCCTTCCCCACCCCATGTAAATTTCAACAACTGCCCTACCCCACCCCATGAAATTTTCCACAACTGTAAAATAAAAATCAGAAAAGGTAAAAACCAATATTGATCATACAAACTGCAAAAAAAAATCGTATTCTGCTCAGCCTATACGCAGACATGTGGTGGCCTGGGTTGAATTAAAAAACAAAGGAAGAATTGACATTTCCTGCTTAATAAAATGGGAAGCAAAACAACCCTTTAAGAGTTGGGGAAGGGGCAGAATGTAGTGGAATAAAATGCAGCATAAAAACCCTGCTGGAGAGAGCTAAGCAACGAGCAAAGGAAGCTGATTGGCTGTGCAGAATAATCAGAACATGTGTAAACAAAACTAGAAGCAAGCTGGGTGTGGCAGCACGGAAATAAGAGGAGCCATCTGCAAGCTGAACTATGCCAGTGTCCAGCTGTCTGGCATGGCAAGGGGGCGGGTGTCCATTTGCCAACTGTTTTTTGTTTGTACTGTTGAACAATACAAATAGACCCATCCAGGGAATCATCTTACAGCCGCATTTTTGTACTATGATCCTGTGTCATTGCTCTACAACCATGTTGTCCCATCTACGCAAACACAGACACCACTAACCGTTCCAAGGAACCGCGCCCTGGCATGGTTAAACTTGGAATGGGGATGATCTCTCTAGGCATTTGCACGTGCCACATGCTGACCTGTCTTAGTTTTAGTAACATTCTCAGCCAATCAAATTCTTTTGCTGGAGAATGCAAAGCAACTGACTGATTTTGTCCTTGCACTTTATTCAGTAGATTCATTCCCTCCCATGTGGCCCTGAGTGTGTAATAGTCCCCCCCCCCCCATTCCACAAGAAAGAATAAAATCTTCAGAAACCCCTAGGAGATGAGCAGAGGGAACCTTTGAACTCTGCAGCCAGCTCCAAATGACTCCCAGATCGGCACAAACTCTTTACACAAGTGCTCCCATTGAGTTCAAGTAAGAGAAACTTAATCCCGTATTGGAACTAGACCTATGAGTGAGCTAGCCACTAGGGGAAATGCCAGTGGCATGAAATGCCTTTGAAGCAGAATCATTCATTTCATAAGGGCAATCATGAACATGTAGACCTACGCACATGCTTCAGTTACTCCATGGGAGTAGCTTATTCACTTCAGTGGGGTTAAATGTGATTAAAGTTAAGCACAACAGTAGTAAAAGAAAACGTCCCCTGGAGTGAAGGACTGGGCTATACTTGAACTCTCCTAGTTGGGCTCCAGACTGATATGTATCTGTGTTCACACACCGTCTCTTACTTATGATTCCCACCACAACTTCTTAAGTCAAGAAGCGAACAGGTCTTGGCCTCACTGAGCCCTGTCGCATTGAACCCACTCAGTAGTCTTTTCCCAGCTCACCGTGTTTGCCACGTTGCGGCAGGAGAACTGGGAGCTAACAAGCTAATGATCCCAGTGTTAGTTGCGAAGGCCAGTATTTTCAAAAGTTGCTTCTAAGCTCTAATTGAAGCAAATGGGAGCTTCAGGTGCACAACACTTTCTGGAAATCAGGCCCAAGTTTCCTCAAATTGGGCATCGCAATCCACAGCCACTTTTGAAAATTTGGCTCTAATTCTATTCTGTGCCTTTCTAAGCTGAGAGGGACATCTGACCAATTGACCTCTGAACCTTGTAAACAGAGAACAATCTGTTGGCTATTCCAGAGGGAGTATCTGTACTGCACATGGAGCTGTTCAGTGAACATTTTACCTTCTTACCTATTGCAAATGCTTATGGGCTGTCCTGTTTGATTGTAATTGGAAGTAGAAATGTGACATATAGCTGCATGTGCATGTTATGCAGCAATAGCAATATTTTGCAGCAGTGAGAAGGTTACAGATTCATACTCAGTGTTTCTGCTTGTTTCCTCTCTCTTTCTCTCTCTCTCTCTCTAGCCGAAGACCACCCCCTTCACCCACTCGGCCCACTGTAATTCGTCCGTTAGACTCGTCCCTGTTAGATTAAGTGAAGTTTCTGGCATGTCATTAATTGCTAACCAAATATATGGAAGCAACTCGCTTGATAACTGTTGCAATAACCAATGTATAGTCGCATGTATGGACATCTGTAGGCAAGTAACCAATTTTACTAATATACTCTGTCCATTCTGTATTGCTTATGGGGTCTGAAATGTCATGGGAAGGTATGTGATGCCTTGACTTTCCCTCTTGCAAAAAGCTGATTTCTTAGCTAGTGTACTGACATATATATATTAATGCAAGCACTTGAGTGTTCCCGTTCTATACATTCAAACGGGGGCTTGCTGTACTGTGTGTTTGTGTTGACCAAGTGCTTAGAGTTTGCCTCTTTTCCATTTCAAAGGGACATCTTGTTTTTATAAGTAGCTTCCAGGTTTCTGCATCAAATTGTTTAAAGAAAGGCTTTCTATAATTTGGATTATAGTTATACACATTTCCTTCCTTAAATGCCAACTGGGCTGAGAGAAACAATGTTGTCTGTAATTAAAAGCTCCTGCACGCCCCATAATTACACATGTCCTCATGTCTCTTTCACAAGCCTGCTGGATGGTTACTTTCACTATAATTTCTCAACATCAGAAGCTTTTAGTTTATGAAGAATGTTGCTAAGGAAAATAAGGCCATATATGGTGTGATGAGCTCCACTCTTTGTGTCCCTCTTTACAGGCCAAGGGGGGAGTCAGTCTTCTTTTTCAGTAACTGGTAAGAGCCAGATTCTGACCCTCTTGCTCACATTGGGTAGTATTTCCTCACATGAGCATTCCCACCGAACTCGATGGGAGCATGTGTGTAAACATAACACACCATGAGTAAGGGTATCAGAGTCTGGACTAAGTGGGTGGTATATTTGTCATTTCAGTGTGAGAAACTGGAACAGATTTAATATGTGAATGTCTAACTGAACCACCAATTCCTTACCCACTATTTGAATGATATTTTGACCCAAGTCACAAAGTTCAGATCTGAATTTGGATCTGAGCTTTCTTGGTAGTGAGTGCTGTTTGAATTGAGGATTTTGGTTGAAGCTGATCTCTCTTTTCAACCATTATTAAAACCCTGAGACAAAGTTACACTGTGTGAAGATTTTGCATTTTCATTCACTGAAATCCCCTGTGGCTTGGTACGATAGTCCCTTTATCCAACTAAAACAAGTGAGAAGTGATCAACTATATAGCCCGGCGATGCGTTATTTTAACAGCTGTTCATTTTCAAGGGTCCTATTGTTTGTTATTTACAAAAAGCTTTATCTTAACTAGTTAACTTGCCATTTTAAATAGATCAGAAAATTTCCCTCCCTAGTGTAGAACAAATGAAGTGGACAGAATTAAACTAATTTGACCTGATGTCTTCAGAAAGTATTTGCTGTTATTTTATTACAGTTAGAGTTCCTAAGGGAAGGCAGTTGGTGGTTATGAAGGCCATCACTATAATGAATCAATCTAATAAATTCATGTATTGAAGCTGTATGTGGTGCTACAATACACAGTATCTCAGTGGTTGGGAGGGATCCTGTCAGAACCACAACCAGTGGGAATTTTGTCTGTTAAATATTCCCAGACTGCTGATTAAATAATAGCTGTGTCCACCACTGAAGCAAATTGTGTTTCTGCTACATAAGAGAGTTTAACTTGGGAAAGCAGCATGATTTGTATATTAGTTTAATTTTCTGTCAAACTTATACTCAGAACACGCACCTGTAGAGTCTAGAGGTCAGTGTTTTAAACACTGCAAAGATGGACTTTGGCACCTTGGTGATCTTAGTGAATTGCTAAAATGGCCAATGTTAATTTGAAGAACATGCTAAAATACTGAACAAAAACTTATAAAATCATCTTTAAAGTAAAAAGAAATTGCACCTTCTAAATTCAGTTGTGCTGTTTTGAACTACAGGAAAGTAAAAAATTACATTTCAATGATGTTTCTATGTTCTCCGCTCTTCAGTATTCTCTAATTTAATATGTAACATTATTATTAGAGGTATTTATATGGCACTATACTAGTAGGTGTATGCTTTTCAGGCAAAACTTCTATATTTATTATTTCCAAGTTTTAATTTGCAACCAACTTCTATTATAAAGTCCTATTTTAGCACCCTTTTAACTTTGACTTTTGGAAACTAATTTGGCAAAAAAAAATTGCAATTTTTTTTCAAAAAGCACAGGAGAAAGTATCTAGTTAAATCTGCTTGAGACAGTGACATTTTAAAGAAAATAGACTGAAGTTAAGCCAAGTTATTAATAATTTTTGTTGTGGATAAATCTTAAACTGCCCACACATTGCCTGATTCTGAGTTCATGTATGCTGTTGTAAATCTAGAGTAACTCCACTTGAGTTACAGCAGAGTAAATTCTGCATAATGGAGATAAAAATCAGGGCCCATAACATATTGGGCGTAATTCTCAACTGCCCTGCATTTTTGTAGCCATTAACTTCGGTGCAAAGTGGGTATAAAGAAATCAGAATGGGATAGCATCTGAGACACAGTTGGCACTGAAGTGAATGGCTACAAAAGGTGAAGAGAATTGGGCTCATTTTTAATCGGTCACTAAGAAATGCATATTTCATCACAGTGCAGCAACCTTAAATCTGACCCAAAATAAAGAGCATTCTTTCATCAGTAATCTCAAAATATAAACAATACAAAACTCTTCTGGAAGGAAGCACAGCATTTATATATGTGGGCATTAATCAGCCTCAAGTGCAAATCCACATACTCTGATAATTTTACCTTAAGTTGATAGTTATGCATTTTTCAGAGTAAACTATGTTTCTCAGGAAAAAGCAATTCTAAATACTTTACAAAAAAGTCTACCGCCAGCTGATATAGATTCATCTTATAATCATAGTTCATGTTTGTCAGCATGGCAGTCTGTGGAACTGGACTCTTCATTCCTACTCACCCTGATTCCGTTTAGTTTCACCCTACCTCCACAATGTTCTCACCAGAAACATCCCTGGCAGCAGCTCGCTCTGCACTGGAAGGACAGCTGGGCAGCTCATCAGTACTTCTCCCTAGATCTGCCAGTAGGGGAGTGGCTGTCTGAGAAAGGTAGCCTTTCCCTCCGCAGACTGAAGGCACCTCTACAATGGCGTGCTAAGCCTGAGATCCCATAGCCCAGACACACAGCCAGGGGGACTGTTGTTCCTTCATTAGACTGGCTCTAGAAAAGCTCAGAAGACTGACTGTAGAGGACGATTCTCTTCCTGCAGTTAACTTAAAAGGAATGAAGGGCTGGGGGAGTTTGTCTGGCTGTGTGTGTGTAGAGAGATGGATCAGAGACTTCTAACATCAGTGATCTCCATTCCATTCCTTATTGAGCAGTGTCCATGTGATTGGATGACCACTTCTAGTTTGGCTTCAGGCTGGTGCTCATCCATTATTTTGTTTAGGCGAAGCCTAACTCTCAGCATGGATAGTGTATTGTGCCTTGCATAGTCATGGTTGACCTTACAGCTGAGGAGGTGGAATGTGCCTGTTTGTGTCATAAGTAGCTCTCAGTTTGTAATCCTGAGGGATCCTACTACACCTTCCTAAGACAAGTAGTGTCTGTGAAATGAAAAGGAAGGCTTAGCTATAGTAAATACGTATTTACTTCATTGCCTGTCTTATTGCACTTTCTGAATAAGCCTCTTATAAAAGAGGCTTCTATTATATTAAGAGAGACATGTTTGTTTTGTACAATGCCATCTTGTGTTATACTAGAACATAGAAAATATTCTACTCTATATTGCAAGCCTCTATTTAAAACTATGTGCATACAGTACAGAGAGATTATTAGATAGATCTATTTGTCTTAAGAATTGAAGACCACCCAATTGAATGCAGACCTGTTTTGCACTGATGGTATTGCTGAGGTGGTTCACCCTCTGCATTGGTCTTACATGAGGCTCATGTCCTGCTTTTGTCTTTGATCACCCTATGCCGTGCTCTGCATGTAATACAGTAGAACTGCTTCGTTTTGTAAATGAATATCATTCTGCCTGTCTTTCCTCTTGCTTTGTCTCCAGGCGAGTGGATACAGATGGCTCCTCCCATCCAGACAGTCCAACGCACTTGCTTGATATGTGATTTGTTCCATGTTGCCGGCTGTTTGTTTTGTTCCCGGTTTGTGTTTTATCCCTCTCTACTTTTCCAGAATGATGTACACAGCGGGGGCGTTTTGTGAGGAGCAAGTGCTCACTTTCTCTCTGAATGTTGCTCTGTATGTTAATGGCCTCATTAATATGAGCCACAACACCTGCCATTGGTTTTGTGGTATGTAAATGATTACTGGCATGGACTTTTGCACACTGTGACTGGATCTCTGGATCCTGAGTCATTACCGAAGGTCTCCTATGCCTCCTGTAAAAATGTCGCACTGCATTTCTGAACCTGAAATAAAGGTAAACGCTGGCTGGGTGTTTGTTACTTTCTGGATGTGATCGAGAGCCTCACCTGTCTTTCAACATGATCATGCCACGTTCCTTCAGTCTGTTTTGTCTTCTTTTGAAGAGCTGACCTTCTGGCATTCCAAAGGGAGATTCCAGTATTAACTGAGTCTGCCACAGTTCTGGGGGAATAAGAGCACAGCAGGATTGCTGTTAGGAACTTGGTGAATGGATTTCAAGCAGCACTGGAACATTTGCTTAATAACTAGGGTGACCAGACAGCAAATGTGAAAAATCGGGACGGAGGTGGGGGGTAATAGGAGCCTATATAAGAAAAAGACCCCAAAATCAGGACTGTCCCTATAAAATCAGGACATCTGGTCACCCTATTAATAACTGACACTAAAATTAGACATTCTGAGTGAAATTCATTGCTGAGCTGCGGGACAGCACGAGTGCTCATAGGCTTGCGTGGGACTAGAATAGTGTGTCCGCTGGCTCTGTGCCCCAGGGGGAATTTCACCCTGAAGGGGTGAGTAGTATGTTCAGATGCATCAGAACATATCTAGGTTCCCCCTCAAAGTTAGTAACGTCCAGCTACTCAGTGCTGAGAGAAGAAATGGTCTCTACAACCAAACAAACAGTAAAAGCATGGCAGCTCCTTAGATCAGGAGCTCAGTTACTGAGTCGCTGGCTCAGTTGGTGGCATCACCCACAGCTGTACTTCGATAGGTGCTGGATGATTGCAGCAGCAGTGAAGATTAAAAATGCCTGTCAGAATTTACAGCAGTTTTGCTTTAACCCTTGTGGATATTTCTTGAGTGGCCTTAATGGCTGAGACTCGGGCAATCTTTGTATTCACACAAACATCTCAATAGAAACTTGTCTCCCCCACATGCCCTGTCTAGCTTTAATACACTACAGATCCCAGAGACTTCACTTCAGCACATGCTGAAAGCACTGCAAGCTTCTCCTTATGATGCGCAACTCATCTCCCCAGTGTGCTGCGAGCCATGCAGACATCCAGTACATTGCTGATGATTTCTGATCAGCTTTGCAGTAGTTTAATAATACTTCCTTCACCCAACGTTAGCCTTCCCCCATTACAGGGGCTTCCCTGTGATTGAAGGATAACGATCTTCATCATTATAGCCCCATTAATTTTATCAGCGATTCCTCCGAATGCACAGCTGCGACCCAAAGAGCTTTGAGTGACTTTTTTTAGGGACACCCCATCCCAAATATTGAACAGGCCAGAATGCAAAGCAATGTGCATTGGAAAACATAACCCAACTATACATATAAAATGATGGGGTCTAAATTAGCTGTTACCACTCAAGAAAGAGATCTTGGAGTCACTGTGCATAGTTCTCTGAAAACATCCACTCAATGTGCAGCAGCAGTCAAAAAAGCTAACAGAATGTTGGGAATCATTAAAAAGGGATAGATAATAAGACAGAAAATATCATATTGCCTCTATATAAATCCATGGTATTCCCACATCTTGAATACTGCGTGCAGATGTGGTCACCCCATCTCAAAAAGACCATATTGGAATTGGGAAAGGTTAAAAAAAGGGCAACAACAATGATTAGGGGTATGGAACCTTGGAAAAGAGACAACTAAGGGGGGATATGACTGAGGTCTATAAAATCATGACTGGTGTGGAGGAAGTAAATAAGGAAGTGTTATTTACTCCTCATACCACAAGAACTGGGGGTCATCAAATGAAATTAATAGCAGGTTTAAAATGAACAAAAGGAAGTATTACTTCACACAACGCACAGTCAACCTGTGGAACTTTGCCAGAGGATGTTGTGAAGGCCAAGACTATAACAGGGTTTAAAAAAGAACTAGATACATTCATGGAGGATAGGTCCATCAATAGCTATTAGCCAGGATGAGCAGGGATGGTGTCTCTGTTTGCCAGAAGATGGGAATGGGCGACAGGGGATGGATCACTTGATGATTACCTGTTCTGTTCATTCCCTCTGGGGCACCTGGCATTGGCCAGTGTTGGAAAACAGCATATTGGGCTAGATGGACCTTTGGTCTGACCCCGTGTGGCCATTCTTATGTTCTAAGTTAGTGTCCAGGGTGTGGTTTTACCCATGTGGTTTTACCACTTCTAGTTCCATCAGAACCCCACAAGATGTTCTTGAAGCTTCCCCCATTGAGAACTGCCTTTTATGCAGAGATGAAATGGACTGTATCCTTGACCTCTCTGACAGCCGGGCTAGCACTGCATCTCTGCAAAGGGCCCAAACTCCAAGGCTGGCTGGAGTGAAGCCCCTCCTGCAAATGTTATTTACTGCAAGAAAATCAGAAAACCTCTAAGCAGCAATCTCCATACTCAGAACTGGACTTGCCTAGTTCCACGGGGCCAGTAGGGTAGATATGAAATACTGCCAATAGATGGGGAGGCTGGGTTGAGAATTCAGACTAATGCTAACATCGCAGTTCTTAGTCTGGCTTTCCCCCTCACGGTGCATGTTGTGAACCTTTTTATCTTAAACAGCTTTCTTCTGGCAGGTTTGTGCATGTGCCATGTTAATGTATTTTAACCGTTTTTTAAATCTTTTCCCCCAACCCCCATAACCAAATGAATTTGGGGTTCTTTTTTTGTCTTTTATTTAGACGGCTTCCTCCAGCAGTTCCTGGAAGATCATCCTAACATAAACATTTCACCTCCTTTATATTAAACACAATCTGTGTTTGCTTTGGCCAAATTACCTTTAATTTGCAGTAGACTGTAAATGAAAGAGTTTGTTTTCAGATGTCAAGAATAAACCAAACTTCTGGACATAGATTGTTTTATGTGTGCTGGTTTGTAATGAAGAGATGTAACCATGTTTCTTAGATACAGCCCATGAGAGCAACTCTTTGGAGTCTGCTGAAGCACTTGCTATCCTTTCTGATCAGAAATGGGATACAGAAGAGAAGGGATGTGCTGCTAGGTTCCACGAAGGCTGTCTGGAGACCTCACATGCATGGGCGGCAGGTATAATGCTTTAATTCAAGCTGATGGACCCCTGGTTGAGGGGTTTGGCGGAGGATGTTTTTGCTTTGTTATGCCCCATGCAGGTTTCGGGGCAGCTGAGGAGGTGGTATTTGCTACTCAGCTTCCCAGGTTCATCAATAATCTTCCTGGACTCCAGAGAGATTAGTGATGAACCCAGGAAGCTGAGTAGCACATACTGCCGCCTCAGCTGCCCCGGAACCTGCATGGGGCATATCAAAAGCTTCTTCAGGAGGAGTGTGAGACACTTTTCCCCAGGACTGCTTGGGGTCTGGGGAGAGGAGTTGGCCCAGGGCTCCTCCAGCCGAGGGGAGGGGCGCTTGGGGCTCCTTCGGGTGGGTGAGGGGGCTTGTGGCTCCAGCCATGAGGGGAGGTCAGGGGGTCTTGGGGCTCCGGCCATGGGGGGAGCCATGGGTGAAGGAGCGGAGCTGGGGGCTAGCCTCTCTGAAGGGGGGTTCCACCGCTGCCCATGCTCACCCACCATGAGATTGTGGCTCAGAAGGGTTCACGGCAGCACAAGAATGCAGAGAGCAGATGAACATCTTTTGTAGACATTATAAAAGAGGTAGCTGCCAGCTA